TGAATCGCCAAATAAAGAAATCTAATATATAAAATTCTCGTGTCACAGTGTTTGTCTGCAAACTCCTCCGGAACGACTTCACCGATCGTTATGAAATTTGGTGTGTAAATTCTGTAGGTATGCGAATCGGACGTAAACTATTTCCCGTTTCGAAATTCTTAAAAGGGCTCCGCCCCAGTGGCTCTGGAGTTTCCCATGTTAACCTTATGAGAAATGGAATTAATGAATCTTAACAGCTGCTTCAATTAAACAAGTTGGTTCTGTTCTATGATGTTCAATAGCATTAAAGTTACAAGGATTACCAACAGGGTGCAGCACTATTATTTCTTTTACATTTATGACAACAGCTAATTTGCAACCAAAAGGTGAGTGAGCGTAGCGAACGAACTTCAACCTGGAGGCGAGTGAGCGTAGCGAACGAGCTCCAACCTAAAGGCAAGTGAGCGCAGCGAACGAGCTCCAACCCAAAGGTGAGTGAGCGTAGCGAACGAACTTCAACCAGGACGTGATTGAGCGATGCGAACGAGATCATCTTGAAAATTAAACGTAACGGTACTTTCTTTCCATCGGTCTGTCTTAGGGGAAACCTATAACTTAGGCGATACGAAGTTCGCCGGGTCAGCTAGTATAAATATAAAATCCTTATTTGCATTACCTCGATTTGTGCACCAGGTTTGCTGGTAATTAATTAAAAGCTATCCACATGTGCATAATCTTTTTCCCAAACAAACTGCTAAAAAACTTTTACAACTATCAAATTTACTTACAACTAATTGAAAATCCCCGAATCGTGTGATATTATTTATGAGGGAAAAACTGTATATTCAGATTTTAAACCGATTACTCACTAAGTGGTGCTAGGCAGTTACCATGGATGAAGTATTATATTAATTTTTCTATGCTGTTACATTAATTTATCCCAGATTATTTATCCAGATTATTTTATCCAGTATGGATTTGCATGTGTTTGATGAAAATTCAATAAATATAATCAATAATGATGGAGATTAAAATTAAAATTATCATATTGCAGTCAAGCTTAATATTTATTAACCACAAGCCTTTTATAAATCATGTAGTGCGTCCAAAGGGCTATGACTCAGTTCTGAAAACGTTCAATGTTTTCACAGAAATGCAATCTCAATTTTCAAAGTTTCCAATAAACAAGTTTTGTGATTTCGTTTATGTTAAACAATAATGTGTATTGACAATAGTAGTTTCCTGATTTGTAATATTATCTTCCTTGACCTAAATACTTCACGATACAAAAGAAACCTGGTTAGCTCATGTTCGGCGATTGACTTGTAGTTTGAAATAGACTGATGAGTATTACAGTAATATTTTCAAATCCTTGGGTAAGTATAAAATAGTTCTTACTTTTTATAATAATTTATTTACGTAAAAACCTAGCTCGATTCGAAAATGTCATAAAAACTATACTATAAAAAATTTCACAGTTAGTACCTATAATAAATTGTTAACCCAAAAAATACGTCCACATAACTCTAATTCAATGAACTAAAATTATTCTCTTCCCAGAGGTCTACTCACAGTACCATTTGTATGCCAGATGTATTACCCATTACGCCATACACATAATTAGTAAAATTACCCACGCACGAAACCAACTTAAAGTCTTACAGCTGATAAAAAAAACAGGTGATTGGTCTGGAGCAGTTTTGGCGGGGTTTTTCCACGAAGACCTCGGAAGATCCCCGCGGTTTTGTACCACCTACTTCTCAGATGTAGAAGTAGAATGCAAATGATGGGTAGGCTGTCTCGAGGTAGACCTATTATAGTTCTAGTACGACACCGGTTTTGAGTTGTTCTTTTTTTCTGAATAAAAATATGATTTGACAATCCGTCAGAACTGGTCAATAAAACTCAAAAGGTCACATGCCAAAAACGTTTGCCCTTTTTATTTTTGCAAAGTTTATGGTCGGGGTTCGGTTTATCTTTGAGACATCTAAGGGACTATAAAATGACGAGTTTTTGAGCGAGCGGAATCATATTTTAGGATTTTTTGAATAATTTTGCATTGTAAAACATGTTACATGTTTCATATTTGGAAAATTATATTAAACCATCATTGATACACATATTATTGGTAGATGTGCGTGAATGGCAGTGAATAAATAAGTAGGTTTGTTACTGAGATCATCTGTTTCTTAAGCCTAGATTTTATTACAATTCAAACCACCCCGGATAGCTGGGTCCAGTTTCAACTAAAAACAAATGTCGCTGTCCAAACCCATCAATATACAGAGTGTCCCGGAACTCTCTACCAATATTTTAGGGCATTATTCCTGAGTAAGAAAGATATCTAAATATCATAATATTTAAACTGTCTGGAAGTCCTTAGTTACTCACACAGCCACCATTTTGTTTTTTTTTACTCATTTTTTTCTAAAAAGTGGTTAAATATAGGATATTGGAACTTTGCAAAAAACATTTAGGACAACTAGAGAAAGCTAAAGAAAAATTATGACAATTTATCAAATTCATAAAACAAAATGGCAGCCATTTTACACTTTTGTAAAATCAACGGTTTTCGAGTTATTTAATAAACACAATTTAAATAGCCACTATTTTGTTTTATGAGTTTGAAATCCCATAATTTTTTTGTGGCTTTGCCTTGTTATCATAAATGGTTGTACAAAGTTTCAATATCGTATCTTTAACCACTTAAAAAATAATAATAGGTGAAAAAGAAAACATGACGGCTGTGTGAGTAACTAAGGACTTCCGAACAATTTAAATATGAAATTTAGATATGTTTCTTACTAAAATATTGGTAAAGATGTGAAATTATTATTTAGGTGATTTTTTTTCATAATATCCCATCTAAGACTAAACTGACCGACTTGAGAGGACATTTGAGTCTAGGTAAAAGGTTGCCTGAGGTATGACCCGAGGCAGACCAAGTTGTAGCGCAATCTCGTGAAGGACGAAGGAGTCTAGCGGCTCAGGTTCAAGGCCACCAGGACCTCTGGAAGGCTGTCCACCGGGATTGCGCCATTAGGACCAGGTAGACACAGGCAAAGTGCCACTGCCAAATCTACCCCCCCCAAACGCACCGTTATTGCGCCAATGCGGCATTTTCTTCAAGTTCAGAAAATACTTCAAGTTCAACATTAGTTTCTCTCTTCATTGCCGAGTTAGGTTAAGTTAGGTTAAATTCCATCGTTTCCCCGATTACCCGGCTACTTGGGGTAGAGTTGGCGCAATCCCGGTGCGTGCAAGACTGACCCTTTTAACCCCCACATAACTGGCGCAATCCCGCTCTACCCGCTACGTCGCCAAAATACAGTTTATGGGAGAGGACCAAGTAATAAATAAAGTTCAATAATGCAATATGTATCCATGGGGTGGGCGTAGGAATAAGAAGTTAACGTTTGGAGTTCAGATTTACTTTGAATATTAAAGAATCGAGTAACATTTTACAATCGTCTTTGTATTTTAGAGTCGTAGTCAACGTCATTTCATAGAGCAGCAATTTACCATCATACAACATTTCATGTAGATAAAGTTATAGTTAAAAATACGTATATCTTATCGGATGGTGGAGTTGAAAAACTGGGTACATTACTCATGGATGAAACCTTCCTAATTCATTTGTGAAAAGTAACGTTTAAATTAAGTGTTTGTAACTGTTACAATAAAGGAATCAACGCCCATAGTAATAACTAATGTCCAAGTAAGTAGGTTTGGCTATATTTAAAGCACCTATTGACATAGTCAGGGTGCAATAATTTGTCACATAATGGGAAGCTTTTAATAACGCAACCTATTGCAAACACAGTACCGGATTCAACTCCACCTACCAAATTTAAGCAGTTTTTTTACAAACAAACATATAAAGGCAAATATTTAGGCCTAAACAAATATTTGAAATGTCGTGGTACGCAAAGTCTATCCCTCGTTACTATCTATTTTACAATACAACAACTTGAAATCATTTTACTAACCCTTCCAATGGATTAAACATTGTTCTAAATAAGATAACCCTCGTATTCTTTTCAAAATATCTTAATATATGGTTTTTTAATTAATTTGCAATAAAATACCCGGTTGAAATATAATGCAGCATTCATATACTACCTCAAATAAAATCTTGCATTTTACAGCTATAAATTATATCATAGTACGTTCTACACCAATTCAACATTGAATAATGGGTAAGGTATAACATGAGAACATAGCACATTGCAATTATTGTGAAATTTAATATGTTTAAAATTAATTGTCGGTAATATTATAACCATTGGGCATGGCGTTATTCGAGATCGATAATCTGTTACCGTGAACGAAAATAATTGGGTCCTTTACAAGAGAGGTGGTCAAAAGAACGACTTTTTATTTTTTTTACGTATTAATTTGTTAAAGGTACCTATGTAATAAAGGCAAAAACATATATGTAATCTGTTATTACATTGCTAATAGCTTTTGCTGTATAGTACTAATAAAGATACACACTTAATTTAAATTTAAAAGATTTAAAAGACGGTAGCCTAGTAAAGATTATAAAACATAAAACCAAACTTTTTAGTCAGGTGGATTATTGGCAAATGTAAGTCAATAATTTAATATAAATAAAGATAATAGTCAAGATTGTTCCAAAATTGTGCATTGAACAGTGTAAATTGCAATTAACTCTTTAAGATAAAAATCCAATTACTTAAATTGATCAATAATTCAACTGTGCTGTGAATTACCAGCAGAACTTGGAATCTCCCACAAATACATTACAATAATCTAATTTATATTTCGGCATATTATTAAGCTATACAGTATTTTATTTATTCTAGGTGACATGGTTTCCTAACGTTAAATGAAAATTGTACATTAAAATGTAAAATACTAAAATGCAACATTTCAGACATACAATGTGCCGGCATGAGAACCCGAACCCTTAACACTAACAAAACATATAAAACCCCGTTCCTTTCTAAATAAAATTAAAATAAATAATATCAATTTTTAAGATATGTTGGGCCTACCTCAGCAGAAAACAAGTAGACATAGTCCGGAGCCTAACCCACACCGCATTGACTAAGTACGCCTAACAGCTGACTGCTGATCGACCGTCTGCTATTGATTCACAGTTGATGGTATTGTCCACCAGGAGCGCTAGTGACGCACGCACACACGCACTCTTTGTAGGCTACTTAGCAAAGTGCAAGTGACAAAGTGACTCTCAACAGTCTCAACTTCCAAGTCGCCGGTCAGTTCCGTTCTGATCTACTTCGGTTTCATTTCCGCGCGCGCAGCCTTCCACAAGGCTGGCAACTTTATGCGGAAATATTTCGAGGGAAACAGCTGATCGCCTGTAGCTCAGTCAGCTGATATGTGTTTTTATTCTCCTATGCATTTGATCCTCGATGATTCTTGAGTGCATTTCCTATAAAGTTGTTTACCTTCGGAAAGGTGTAGTTTAAGTTTTTAGTACCGTATAATTGACACAGCGTGTTATGAATAGTGAATGAGAACTAGGATATTAATTTCCCTGGTCATCAAAGGATTTCCTACGGCATAACAGTATAAGAACTTTTATCTAATGTGGCAAAACGTAAATAATAATAATAATATTGATAATAATAATAATAATAATCCAGTGGACCAATAATTCAGTTAACAACATTTATTATAAGTTCACGAAAACTCGAGTATTTAGGTTTGATTTTGATGAAATTTTGCATTAAACTCACATACAACTTAACTTATATTGAGTTTGCAAACCAGCAAGATCGGTTAATATGTAAGTTAATGAGGAAAATTGTCAAAAATTGTTTTTCGAACGTTTACCCTTAAAACATGGAATGGCCCAATTTTTATTACATCCAACGTGTAGAGCTTGAACGAACAACGTTCTACAGTGTAGAATTGTTAGAAATGATGGATGAATTTCCAAAAAAAACTGTACATTTAAAATTGCCAGGTTATTCTAATAGAAAAAGGTATATTTTGAAAAAAGTTTGTTAGTAATTTTCTTCATCCTATATTACTTTTAACGTTTGATACAAAACACTTTTCCGATTCCTTGTAACATCAAACCCAAAAAATCGATATTATAATTTATTTAAGTATTCAATATAAACTGCTGTGAAATATATAATTTTATACAGTTATTTTTAAGTTTTATGTATACTCTTTTATTTTGTGCTGTAGCAAAGTAAGCTGTTTTGTTTCACTGAAGATGTTTATGTCTTCTATTGTACACTTTTATGGAAATAACGTTTATTTTGGTTTATTTATTTATTTTTGCTGCAAAGTTGATACATAAGAAATTTCATTGTCAAGGTTCGCCAGCCTACTTCCGACATAGAGTAAGAAACAAACCGGTTAGAAACATGAATGCGACTCCAGCTGCTGTCTACACTACTACAACACCATTCATATCAGTGACATGTCAATTCAGTCACACAATCACTTGAATTGAATGTGATTCTAAAATAGTGTGTTACGGTTTGTGTAAGATCAAATTTAGAATAAACTTGGTCGACTTTGATTTGTTTAAAACATCGACTATGCACTGCCGAACAAGAAACTTCTGTTCCATCATTATTACATTAATATTTACATGCCACTATAGCCTATACAGCCCAAGCTAAGCAAGTTACAGACATAAGTTATTTGTCTCGCATATAATTTCGTGAACATGAAATATTGTGTCAAGTTTTGTATAAAATACCCCCGCCGCAGCAAACCTGCAGACTAAGCGAATTTCCATTTGCCTGATTGGATTTACACTAAAATGTCTAATTAAAAATATAACATTTATTCCCTATTTAAATAGAATTAATTAGTTTAACTAGTACTTAGGTTTGCTGCATCAGGGAGGATAAAACTGTGTTTTTTTTTATGTTAATAGTTAGTAAGAAATAAAAACATTTTCCAAATTTGATTAAAATATGTTCATAAACAAGCAAACTACAACAGTTTACTTATCCTCCATAAGAATAACAAGGGAATTTTAATTTTTTGGGAATTTTCTCCGTAATCATTAGTGTTAATAACGCTTCAATATACTAAAATTATTTGTTTTTTTAAGCTCCACAAAATCGTTTTTAAAGAAATTGCTAATTTTATGTTTTTTGGGTTAAAAGCGGGAAAACCCTATTTTTACCCCATAATTTCGTGAACATATAATATTGTTTTGATCGAGTTTTGGATTAAAAAAAATAATTATAAATTTAAAGATGTCAAAAAGGTGAACAAAGGCCGCTCCTGAGGTGTATTCCTATTGTAGTAGTTTTGGTGGACTTACTAAATAGTTTGCCCTAGCACATTCATAAAGCGTTGCCGCTCTGACACCTAGAAGCATCGGTCCACCCGTTATTTCATTAATTCCTTCTATATATATACACTTCATTAGAGCAATCTTTCCAGCGAGAACCGACAGTTTCTATCGTAAAAAACAAGTAAGAATATGTTGAAAAACTGAATTCTTTAACGCTGGGTTACTTAAAACTATAAATAATTTTAATCGTTGTTGTTGATTTTAAAAGTTTTTCTTTTTATTGTATATTTTATAGGTGCAATTTTCAATTGTGATCTACATTACCGACAGACGTAGAGCTTCCAACAGGTGCCTATAGGTAGCGTTTGCTGTATGATACCAGTATCAGGTGTTGGTGGTTCCATTCCGATGGGTTTTCAATTTCAATAGCACGCACTATCATGACGTGATGGTGATGTACAGTTGATTCGTTGTTAGGCCTACAGCAATACTTTTTAGGGGGTTTAGGGTGGAGGAAAGCTATTTTTGATTCAATTCGTCTATGATGTAAGCCTTTATATATTGCTTATATGCTGAACCAATGCTTGGATCTGATGAAAAGTTGTTTAAGTGCAGAATTACATTTCTTTTATTCAAAGTTATTTTCTATCTCAAATTGTTTTTGAGTAAAATCAGTTTCAAATCAAAACTGTAAAAATTGACTTTAATTACTATAGTGTACATTTTGTTCCATTACGCTTTTAACCTATCTTCACTCAAACCCCCTTAAAATTCCGGTGTATTTGTTGTGTTTTTGGACTTTGTGGGTATGCCTACTAATCCTCTTCTCTACGAGCTTAATTCCTGAAATTGGTAGGGGTGTTGGTCTTTGGCCCCAAAACCATAAAAGATGTTCAAATCCTAAATTTAATTCAAGCCCCCTTCATAGATTAAGAATATATCCCTATGTTCTTATGGAGAGTAAGCATTAATGCGGTTTGAGCAGACTAGAGACTTGTTAATAAGATAAGCTGGTCATGGGCATAAATCATTGGTAAAAGTTAATTAGCGACCAATCCCATCTTAAGCCCCCCTACAAAATCACCCCTTTAGAAAATGTATGTTTACAGTTTCTAGGCATTGTAGATATTTAGAAATTTTTAGCTTTGGTGGTCTGAAAAGAAAATTCTTTTAATTACAACTCTTTTAAAAGTAGATTATGATGGGGGAGGGAGTAGCTCTCAGCATAGCATTGTTGAAGTCTGTTGGTACTCCAGTTGTTTTGTATTCCAGCTGTGTACACTCCAGCGGTCCCTTTATGTAGACAACAAATTTCTGGTCTAAAAAGGAAAAAGAGTACAAAAATGAACTGTTTACTGTCTAAGGTGGGGAAAGGTAAATGATGTAGCTTATGTATCGTTTTTTTCCAGTGATATGTATTTTTATTGTTTTGTACCATATATTTCGGGAAATTTGAACAGCTTGTTTTCTCAAAAGATGTAACATTATTATTTTGTACACTTGGACAATTAATAACCAGTTGGGCATATGTGATGTGGTGAAGTTTAGGGGAAGATAAAAAAAGTTAGCCGTCACAAAAACACAACAAAATAATTTTACAAAAATCACAAAGCCTAATTTACAGGCTAGGGAAACACTTTAGAGATGATGGTCCTCCTCGTTACTTTGCTGGGTCTGTGTGTCGGATGTCTTGGCCAGCAGCCGAGGCCCCGCCACACTGGCCCCGATGGACCCTAGGGGAGCTGTGATGAGGATGGACAACACTGCGATGGTGAGGAACTCTGACCCTCGCTGGAGGTCGGCCGCAGACGGGTCCACTGACTTACGAGCCATGTCCAGGGCTTGAGGAGCCAGTGCTGCCTGTGGACAAAAAGATATTGGCAAAACTGAACTAAAAAACATTTTATTTACCAGTAGGAATGTAAATTAAATATCTTATACTCTTGATAGAACTAGAGTTCTTGTGTTGAAGCTGTAGCAAGTTTTAGAACAAAAACTAGGATACATAGGTAGTTGAATTGAGCCTTTGAAACAGTGAGCTAACGTCAATTTTTTATGAAAAAAGGTCTCATCATAGATTGAACATACTCAGTTGTTCTATGAGTTCATCTATTTTTACTTTTGTTAGTAATGAAATGGTCTGTAGTAAAATTCCATGGAAATTTCAGTATGGTTGTTCTTTAATAAATTAAAAAATGCCACTGGTTTAGAAAACACACACAAAATTAAAATATGAATTATACACACGTAGGATCCTGTGGAAATCTAGAACCGAATTTGTAAAAATGCTGTCAAGCATTTTTGACTTGTTATCAATTTAATAAGCGTATAATAAAATCATACATTAAAGGTTGTTTATTGCTGAATGGATTTGAATCATGTAGGTACTAAATCATGTTCAGAAAAACTATCCAAGCATTTAGGCAATAGTTAATTTGTTACCTGGACAGTGGCCTTGGGTAACCACGCTAGGTTAACAAAAACCACCTCCTTGAAGTTGAGTTTCCCTCCGACCAATACCAAGGAACAGGCGAAAACTCGCATCTGTAATTTAAATTGGTTTTAAGATGATTAAAACGATATAATACAATCTTAAGTTTGCTAAAGTGATCTTTTATGTACGGTTTTGATTTGCTTATAAATCAATAATAATATAAAGTTTGAATGTAAAACAAGCCACCTGTATAAACTTTTGTTTTGATTACTGATTATCAATTTCAGTTGACATTCAGCTTTAGCTCAAAACTAGTGTTGTTGTTCCAACTAATGATTTCTAATGACCAACTTATTCTTTTTAAAATAATTTTGTACTTTTTCACATATTGTATCTACCCTGATGTCTCTCTTAACTAACTATAATGTTTCTACCCAAATAAATCTATGCTCTACTAGTGTCTTAATAAAAAATTGTAGGTATTTGGATGGATACTGAGCATTTTACAAAA